CGTATTGTGTATTTGTAAATAACAGTTTTTATTTCTTCGTACATGCGTACCACCACGCCAGTCTCTTAGCAATAATATAAATAGGCACACGTAGATTGAGATTTATTTGAGAGCAATTGCATACAATTTGTTAAAGTGATCAGAATGGCGATTGGCGCAGCTTGACTAGCAAATTTACTACCTACTGTATGTCGGATGACGTTCTTCGTAACTGAAAAACATATTTCATTAGCACTTGGACTTTAACATATTTTAGAGATTTTATTTTCATTTATCATTAAACCTTAACTGCCTTCATGGCTTTACGGTTACCATGCTGGATTGCCATAAATTCCCGGACTAGATTCTCTGGCCGAGAGAAATAAGATATTTGTATGGCCTCATTGACTTACAATTATATGGACGTCGGGTCCGCGCTAAAGCGTCCGAACTTATAGGGCGTTAAAATCGTATACAGAGCGTCATTCACGCTTTAGTCTTCATTTGTTCGACTGACAGCGAAGCAAGCCAAATTAGACAGTACTGCGGTGATATTACAATTTAAATTCAACGTTTTAGGTTTTTCATATTCCTTTACATGTCACTACGTTTAAATAGGTTGACTTGGGACATTTTTTTCGTGGTTTTTGTATTAGACCCGTCGTCCATTTATTTGTAAGTCAATGTATGGCCTACACTTATTTCTCTCGTGAGTTTGGGTGTAATTTGTGGTTGTCTACCTATGAGTGTGTTCATGATACCCGCGACATAAGGTTGTGACGATGCAACTCTTTTCATTGTCATCCCACCTTTTCACCACCCTTTCCTCTGATTCCTGGCCACTTACTTTTGAAATTTTGAATCGTTCTCTAATTCTCTCCATCGTCATTCTTACTTTGCTTCGTTCCCTTTTCACTCCCATCAAACTCCAGAACCGAAAAAACGTACTGTCTCTCACTATGAATCACTCCATATTAAATTACAATTATTGTTATGTACGTTTTATAACCATGAAACGTGTTTTTACACATACATCACACACATTTTTGTGGAATAGTTCAAAATGTCGAAGCTACCGTAAACAGTTTCTGGTACGTCAAAAAATGACATACCTCTACGAAGACACCAACATGGCTGTCCAGACTACACTACAACCTACATATAGTTGCATGCTTGGGGCCAGTCGCGTCACAGGGTTTCCCTAGTAAACAAAAACCTTACGATATCACGGAAAACATGAAACGATGGATGTGTGAACAGTGCATCTACCATGAGATTAAAATAACAGTAATATTTCGCTATTTTGCATGATAAATGACATTTAAATATATTCATGTCTTTGTTGCAAAGACGGACTGAGGGCCGTATTCCAGAACTCTACTCAACGCTCAAGTTAGGATTTGAGTATGGTTTAAAGCACTTGATATCATACTCAAGTCCCTGCTATTAGGGTCGTATTTCCAGTGCTTGTGTTGCCAGTGCAATCCTGACTTGAGCATTGAATAGAGTTCTAGAATACGACCCCAAAAGTCGTCTAATGCAAGACTACGCTTGTCTCGGCAAAAGCTATACAAATGATTCGTCGAGTGGCGAACGCGATAGTGTTAATACAGTATAAATTACTTTCAAACTTATCACAATTTCCTGAGGATTATTATCGCAGATAGCGAAGTCCTTGAGGTGTAATTGTCTGACTCTGCGGGTGACATCGAAATTAGGGAAATAACCTTTGGTGAATTTGCAAACATTACATACACCCACATTATTTAAATAAAGGTTTCTGCATAATTATTTCATTGTATACAATGTTATAGTTTTTACACAGCCCACGAATGTTATGCGAAGGGTTAATAACCGTATAATACTCAGAAATATTAATTGAAATTGATATGAGTTTCAATGGCTCAAGTGTACGGGGTTATTAGACTCGTAATGACTGATTAGTAGAGTATATATTTGAAAATATAACCGTCACAATTTTAGTTGCCAGGTTTTGAGTGGCGTCAGTTTTAAAGGTGTGCAATGTAATTGTATAATTAATAAATCAGCCCGTGATCACGGCCATCGCCAGGCAACTTGACCGAAAAATACTAACACATATGCACACTACATTAACTTATCACAATTTTTTTGCTTTTGTTTTTGATGCACCGCAACGCACTACTCTCGAAGGTGATGGCTAAAAACAGTGCTTTGCCTTTAGGCAAATTATGCACTGAGACATTATTAGGTTTGCTGCAGCACACACAAGCTGTTCATCATTAGGTTAGTAATTTCATTTTTCGAATTAAAAAAAGTCATTTCTTGTTGTTAGTTTTTATTTTCTTTAATTTTCATTTCTGTATTTCTCTTTTAATTCATTCACTGTATTATACTGTTGTGTGTATGATGCAAGACAATAAACGTTTTATCTATCTATCTAAGGTACGTAGGTGTGCGAATATTTAAAAAGGTATATATTAGTCATAATCATTATTGTATTGTAATATTCTTTAGTACTACACCTTTATTTTTTGATCCCCGACGCAATAAGAGGGGAGTTGCAAGTCTAGTATCTCTATGACTGTCGTGACATCATAACGTCCAAACTGGTGGACTGATATCAGGGCAGTTTTTTGTTATTTGATGTTTAATTTCATTGCGATGGTTCTTGGCTATGTTTCATTCATCGGTTCAGCTGTTTAAAGATCATAGCCCTTTTCCCAGTGTACAGACTACGATTTGGAGTAGCATCGACATCAGCTCTGATGTCGATGTAGAGTACATTGTTTTGTATCGGGGGTTTTGTCTTGGAAATTTTAAGGCCGCTTTCTGACTTGTCGGTGTGGTAAAAGTGCGGTATCGGTACGCTCGGTATAAAAAGTTTACCTAGTCGTTATATTTCAATGTGCGCTTCCTGATTGGCGTGGTATACCGTAAACCCAAGAAGCTTATATACTACACTTCGCACATCGAACTGAGGCATGAAAAAATGACGGAGATTCTTATGTTTGCATCTCTTTCTTTAGTTTTAATTTTAGTTCTGTTTGGTAATTTCAGTTCGTTTTTGAAATGAGGCTACTAAAAAAACATAAAAGCATGCACACTGTGTCTTTGTAACTATATCTTAAAATAGATTTCAGAAAAGTCACTCAGTAACTGTACTAAATTCGTTTTTGGGGTGTTTATTTTGCATGCATTGCACTAGACACGACGTGTAAAAAGGATTTAAAGCACGTCAGAAAAGGTGAATGGCCTTGTCTTCAACATTCAATCCTTGATGCAAACTCCAGTGTAGTACATAAGCTTCTTGCTTAAACCGAAACGACCCCTTCCCGCTTCTGTTCAAACCACGCCAATCAGGAAGCGCACATTGAAATATAGGCGCTCGTTAAGCACCGCACCGACAAATAAGGAAACGGCATTATGTAACTCTTTTTATAATAAAATGCATGCGTTGTATAGAGCATTGGATTAACTGCATTATTTATACGCGCGATTTTTATAATTAATTACAGACGGCAGCACAGTGACGGATGTTAGGGTCGTATTCTAGAACTCTACTCAATACTCAAGTCAGGACTTGAGTATTGCAGTGAGCACTGAAAATCATACTCAAGTCCTTGCCATTAGGGTCGTATTTCCAGTGCTTGAAATCATACTCAAGTCTGCTCAAATCCTGCCTTGAGCATTGAGTAGAGTTCTAGAATACGACCCTTAGAATCTACTCCATTCTCCGTCCGACATGCGTCCAAAGCAATTACAGTCAAATAAGTAATACCACGTAATACTCGACCTTTTGAATCGTCTTTTTGATTTGGTCGAGAATTACTTCGGATGTCGGAAGGGGAACGGGATTAGACGCCCTGGTTCCGTTGCACGATATACGAACAAATATGTACAGCTTGATATGCTGTTGACTGTATCTCTCTATAATCAAATAAACGATCGAAGACCAAAGATGCCAAATGTGAACATTTATTAAAAAAACATTCCAATAAAAAACACGACAGGTGCAAATTCATTTAGCAATAGAAAATGCAGTTAATTCATTGTGACAAAGTTAATTTTCAGATATTTTCGAGCAGTGCCATGAGCTACTTTTTCTATAGAGATTTAAACTATGAATAGTAATGGTAAGAATCAGCATTTCAATGAGGCTTGAATGAATAAATCATACTTAATGAATTACTTAGGTATTATTGGACTCTAGAACTTTCTACTGAGAACACTTTGTCTCAAACAAACATTACAATCTAACGTAAGCAATGATAATATAACAACGTAAACAATTCTCATAGACAAATCTCATAAGCAAATAATAGAAATATGCAAATACGAATAACAAAACATCGTTCAAGATCCTTAAAATGTTTCTGGTTCAAGTTCACATTTAAAGCGTAAAACATTCAAGGCATGCGACATATTGTTGAATGCCTTAAAAATGGTGTCACTGGAAAATAAACCCAATTATTAAACAAGAAAGATTCGCTATTACTTGTAATGCAGTTTGTCGGTGTGACGGTCAAGCCTTTGATTTACTGCTTTGCGATTGGTCGGTTCACTTTGGAATGTTTACGTGTGATTGAACAAAACAAGTGAATGTAAAAAGGTGATTGAATGTATACTAAAATTTTTGTTTTAGACAGTTTTTTGTTTATATTGCTGAATAGTAATTAAGTTTTCCTGTATTTCTTATCCTTTACATTAAAATAATTAAGATTTCGTAAAGATATAGTAAATAATGTTTATATAAAATTACTTTTTTAAATTATTACTTTGTGACAAAAAATGTAGTAGGTATTTTATAATAATAAACTACACTCTTACTAAAAAATGACGGAGCTCTGTTAATTATGCACTGCAGCGACAATAACTACCCGTAGTACTTTTATAACAAAGCGATAATTAACTACGAGTTTGTATTGAAATTAAAACGATTTCGAAACGCCTGGGATTGCATATTCCAAGGCAAACTTTTCCCCTTTCAATTCTATGTACTATTTGTGAGCTAAAAAAATATAAACAGTATGAAAACATACCCTTCTACGCCCCCAAACAGCATTGTAGTCTCCATGTTTTATAACCGAGCACTATGGATCGTGTTGACGTAATTACTATGATAAAATACGAATTTACGGCTTTTTATGTGATAAAAACTCCGCAAAATACCAACACAACTACTATTGACGACGACAATTTAGCTACTGAATGAATAAAAGAACGAATGATTAGAGTTTCGCTTCAGCTGATAAAGGAGTGACATTTCGCGAGCAAATAGCGAGGAGTGAACGGACTAGTAACAATAGAGTCGCGCGTTTTGACTTAACGTTATTCGTTATATTTTTAGACTTTTACTGAAAAATTAAATGATCGTTTTTTTAAGTATAATACTGTCGCCATTTGTTGAAAGGGCGCTTATGGCAAAAAATCAAAACGGAGAAAATAATGCCTAAAATGCCTGAAATACTGAAGATGATTATTGTGCTATATACCCTTTTAAAGAGTTATCGAAATTATAAATCCAAATTGAAACCTATATTATTATTTAATTAGGTATTACCATGGGGCATTGGTTGTTTAGTTTTAGTACATATTTAACATCATAGATGGCGACACTTGGATTAAATAAAAATGTGAAATATTGGATTTCGAAAAATCGTGGTATGTCATACCAATAAGAAATACATATAAAAAATAAATGCAAAACTGTATAAACAAAATTTTAGGAATGTTTAATTAAAATTCATTTATAAATAAGATAATTGGTGAAAACAAGAAACTGTCTTTGGAGAGATAATAAGTCGAAGATTTCTCAAAGATATATTTTTTTATTTATTAGTTTGTAATCAATTGTATAGATGGTACTTCCTTGCATTTATTCTCGAAACTACTTAATTTTAGCACTAACTTTTCCTTTAATTCAGCTCTTTGCGATTTTATTATGTTATTGTATAAATAATCAACGTCTGAACAAAAGCAATAAACCTTGACAAAAATTGGCCTTTTCCAATATAATTACAATAGCATCGCGGGTTTACTTGGTACCGTCTATTGATCAACGTTATTTATCAAAATATGCGTCCGATTTTAGCGGAGTTACGAGTGCGACATTTCTTGTAGGGTCAAGAGAACGTCAAGCTTGATTACGAGATTGGTTATCAGTATTAGTATAGAATTATAATATATTATCTGTGGTATTAACCACAAATGAAATAAATGAAACAATAAATATGTAACATTTCATATATTTTTGTTTTTTTTCTTTATATATTTTTTTATCTTTCACACATGAATATACAACATTCGACTAACAGATAAATAACATTAAAACATCGACTATACACAATTGAATGGTTTGACGAACGTCGAGATCTTTTTTTTGACTACTTAAATAAAATTGTAAAAGGTTTGACAACTTAAAAGATATTTCTAGGTGAAGGAGGTGGCTGATACGCCATCATTTATTCTGTTTCTAATCCCACCCAAAGGACCGAGGTAGAGCGAGTTAGAATATCTATCAGAAGATTACGGGAAGTTTTGCTAATTTGTTTTGAATTACTTGACTTAGTGTACTTCCATTTGTATTGGTTCATTCGTATTATTATTATTGAACACAAGTACAATGTCTTGCTTTTAAAACTATTTATTTTATTGGCCAGAGCTAGCCTCGCTCTAGACTGTGATGAACATTAAAATGTGTTGCTAGATATGCGATGTAATTAGAGTGGGTTTGAGCCATCTTTTAGTATTCACCATGATACTTTTACAGAATTTGTGATTATCAATCACGTCGTTTCTTTTCCGTTGTAATGCAAGTTGGAAACACAGCAACAAGTGCTGTGCATTGGTACAAAAAAAATAGAAATAAAAAATATAATAACGGTTTTTTTCTCTAATATGGAAGTACACTAAATTAAACAACTATAGAATGACTAGGGGTCACAAATACTTTTATAGAGTACGACCACATAAAATTGTTGAAAACACCACGTAAAACATAAGAGTGCGACTCTACATTTTGTGCTTTATTTGTTAGCTTTATCTGTGTACATACACAGAATTTTTCTCTCATTCTGTTATAGGACTGTGTGGTCGTACATATTAGACTAAATCTATAAAGAGAGCTAATGTTTACAGTTTTAAGAGGCACTGTTGACCACCAAACTTTCCTTTGCTGTGTTTCTTTTACATAAATTAAGTAATTACATGAAGTTAGCGTTTATCAGTAAACTAAATACGTCGACTTAAGTTTGCGTAGAGTACATACAATTGCGGCTTTGCTAAGCCAACAACTTCAGTATTTTTGTTGTTGTAAACTGTTCTACCTTCAAAAATGTAGATATTTCTATCATGTAATATTTTGGAATGATAAATACATTGTTTTTAAAAGAAGTGCAACATTCAAGTAAACATTTTAGGTTTAGGAGTTTAAAGTAAAAATCATATTTAATATTTTTGTAAGCAGGTATTTAATACTGTATTATTTAGAATGGTGGATATTGAGAACTGTTTTTATCCATATTCCCCCCGCGATCCCTATTCTCCCCATTTTACGGTACTAAATGTACCTACAATTAAAAATTCCAACCAGCACTTACTCTTTTCAAAGATTATTTGTTTTTCAAAATAATGATTAGTGACATTATTTGTCATAAAAACCTGTTAGTTAAAAAAAAGTACAAATCGTTTTGTAATTATGTAAAAGAAACATAGTTAAATTTAATAACTTCTAAATGAGGGAATATTTATAAATTTCTCCCATATCAATTGTTTATTTACAGCTTAAATTGTAAAGCGCGTTTTTCTTTTCATCGGTTTTTTATAAAAACCGGTATTTACAATAAATTAATTCTAAACAAGTAAGTTTGAAGTCATATGTTACTAAAAATATACGTAGGAAGTGTGACGACATAAAAATCTAGACATTTGGGCTTAATTTCTAGGACATTTATTTTAGGCTAGGTTAGGACATTCATTAAAAATTACAATTAACCTAAACTTAAGTAAAATTAATGCACTAGGCCTAAGACTTTAGAACTTAATTTCTAAAAAAGGGTGCTTTATTTTATAAAAAATAAAAATAATATTTACATTAATATGTTCATGTAACAACAATTTCGCTACCTACATCGAATACAATACATTTAAATTAAAATTCAAACAGTCTTTTCATAAATAATTCACTTATTATACACATAACTAAAATTACAATTTTAATTTCCTAACACGTCAATTTAACTTTACAATAATGCGTTTTATATACGGATCTGTTTTATATTAACGAATTTTCAACTATACTAGCGTTACGACGCATTGAAATAACGTTATACACTCGATAGAACTAGGTCGACATTAAATTGCAAAGAAGAAGACCATAACATAATAAATTATAATCTATGGCCAGAGATGAGCAAGCATTTTTTTCAATCCTCTAAAGGTTTTAACCCGACGGCGCTGAGTTAACGCCGGTTTTTAATCGAATTAAAATTTTAAGATTTATGTAAGATTTACAACTAAATATTTGTTGTAAATCGAGTTTTCTTCAATGTCTATTGCTTGATGAAGTAAATTTGTACAAAAATCGTGACTTGAACCAATCTTAATAAAAAAGGAATCGTAATGAGCATGTAGTGAGAATCCACAGAATGCGGAATATGGTTGATAGTGTAACTTTCCATTTTTGTTGGAAAGGTAGTTGGATAGGTCGATTCAATATTTCAAGATCTATATTATGAATTTAATTTTTTATTTTATTTTTTAAATCGTTTTGATTAAAATGATAAGTTACATCTATATGGATAACGGAGATTTTAGTGACTATTGTCAAAAAAGAAAGACAAAATTTGGAATGCGTATTTACAAAAGAAGTTCATAATAAGTTTGGCGCCAACTAAATAGACACCCCGCTGATGTGCACGAGTCACCTTAAAGGAGAAAGTTTAGAACACAGTCCACAACGTCGACCCAGTATGCTTTCACGTCGAAAAACAAAAAAATTTTGTTAAATAGCATTGACTTACAATTATATGGACGTCGGGTCCGCGCTAAAAAGTGTCCGAACTTATAGGGCGTTAAAATCGTATACAGAGCGTCATTCACGCTTTAGTCTTCGTTTGTTCGACTGACAGCGAAAGAAGCAAAATTACACAGTACTGCGATGACATTACAATTTAAATTCAACGTTTTAGCTTTTTCATATTCCTTGACATGTCACTACGTTTAAATAGGTTGACTTGGGACATTTTTTTCGTGGTTTTTGTATTAGACCCGTCGTGCCTTTATTTGTAAGTCAATGTTAAATAGATATGTATTGCAACCGTTCTTCATACGTAAGATTACGTGTAATTAGATAAAGAGGTAGGGTACGTATTTAAAAATGCTCAGAGGATCAATACCGTTCAGAGACCTCATGTTATGCACAGTAGTAGATTAGGAGGCTAGTCTTCTTTTTGACAAGTAAAAAAATGTGCTCTTCGTATATAAATACTTATATATAGAAATTTTGGTAAAAAGGTAGGTACATAATGCGCTCCTACGTTCGCACATGGGCTAGACGCACGCGACAGAAGTTTGAAACGTCGGAATCTGCCGCCGGAGAGGACGGCGTCACCTGAAACGGAAACAACACATTTTTATTAGTTATCATTAAAGAAGGACGGCGAAATCTGACATAATAATTATAAAATCAATGAAGAGCCGTTCCTGGACTTTGCTAGTATAATTTTACGTTTTAGATAAACCTAGTTATCAATATATCTTTGTGTATTTTTAGAAGTCGGGACTAGATATGAACGCCGCCAACAAATGCAATCGGCGCGCCGTTCAGTTCGGTCAGGCGCTCCGATCGTACGCACGCGCACGCTTCCCTTTTGTATATTGTGAAAATGGCGACGCCAGAAAATTACTTTTCTAAAATATTTTTTTTATATAAAATGTAAGTTAGCATTTGACCTCCATCTCACCTGATGGAAAGTGACGATGAGGTCGACGATGAAGCATGCACACCTAAATAATACCTATTCACTGTCGCCTTGAAAAGGCCCAAGTTATAACGTTCAGGGAACAAGTCGGCAGGCAGTGAATTCCACTCCACAACCGTTCGTCATATAAATGTGGAAGCGTAAAGCTTCGTGCGAATCTTTGGAATATCCACAACATAGGGGTAGAATCCAAGCCTACGTCTAGTCCGCCAGTGATGGAAAGGGGAAAGCGGAATTAAATCGTGTAATTCCATCGCACACTCCCCGTGATATATCCTGTAAGATACCGATAACAGTGTGACCATCTGTGGCAGATTTCTGCCATGTTGGCAGATTTAATTTTTATTCACTTTCATTGCGGTAGAACATGTTAACGTTGTATTAAATGTTTGGCAGATTTGTGAATATTCAGTAACTTCTTTATTATTTTAGGGAAAAAACTGAAAACTTGTTGTTTTCTGCTACAACGAACAAATATCTGAAGCAAAATACAGGACAATGTAAAACATAACTTATAATAACTTTAGAACCCGAGCTTCTACTGGCTGTACTCGATTACCTTTTTTGATGCTTTGATAATGAATTACACGTTATAGACCTCTTTAATGAACGTCGTCAAAAACACTGGATGGCAGAATACACGGGATGAGGCTATCCTTCTTTTAAAATCAAACTTTAGCTTGTGATTAATTGTGATTAAGACCCATATAAATTCCAAAGTTTCAGAAATTGTGTGACTTTAATTTTATTATTCTGGAGGACAACATTCACACTACGAGTATCATGGACCAATTATACAATAGGACTGCTATTCACGAACCACGATACAAGAAAGAGTATTTTTTTATTTTTTTTAAATCGGTACGGGACCTACAATTCTTGCGCCTGATGGTAAGTTACACGCGTGCCTATAACAGTTGCAGTGCCATTCATAGCTTTAAATCGTAAAGATCTGAGGGGCACTGCCACTGCGCCCGTCACCCTGAGATATAAGTTGCCAAGTCCCATGTGCCGGTAATTTCACCATCACCTTGGCCTTCAAAACTTCAACACAGTGATGCTGACATTACTGCTTGGTGGCAGAAATAGATAAGGTGGTAGTATATTACATATAATATGTTATAAGTATTATAGAAAACCCTTAGTTTTAAACATGAAAAACAAAGAAAACACTTTTTTTTGTTCGCCTTTGTACATAGAAACTGTAATATACATAAAGGGTATTATTTAAAATTTAACTAATTTCAACGGGGAAGATGATTTCTCCGTACCACCAACCATGTAGCGTAAATTGGAATGTTCGTTGTAAAAAAATTTAAAAATAAAGTATTCAAATAATAACTTTTGTAACTATAGTGAAAAATAAGGTGGTTTGCATTAATATTAGACATAACTGGTTGATTGACTTTACCACATCAGTCAACCGTGGCCAAATTTGAAAAAACAAATATACGCGATTTAAATCCAAAAAATAGTTTCATTTCCTAAAAATAAATTGCTGTTTCGAGGCTCACAACAACTTATGTGGAAGGTGTCGAGATGATACAGTTGGTTAAGCCGTAGAAGGATAAAACATCTCCATCAGTATCGAAGACAAAACTTGTGGATATCTTGAATATTTCACCATAGTTTCACAGCTGTATCGTTGCATCGTTGAGGTTGTGTACTACTTTCAATTTTAAAAGTAGTCCACGTTCGGCTTGGCTTTGGGTCCCACAGGGCGCTACTCTGATCCCTAAACTTTACGTCAGGTATGCATACCTATCAGTGGTGCTAGAAGTGTGCGATTGGCTATGTTCATGTTCGTCTAAGGAGTGAGACTGAGTGTTTCTCAAAATCCTCGTCCGTGGAGGCTCAGCAGCGGCGCCGCCGGCTCCGTCGGATTCCCTGCGCGCGCTGCCGCCTCCGCTGCAGAAGCACTTGCAGATTATGCGTTTGAAGGCAAACCTGGAATCATGACGATAGATTCTTTTCAATGCATGTTTCAAAACGAGACGCGGTTAAAGTTTAAGGGTTCATCAAAGAACAATAGTCGTTGTTTATGATCTTAGTAATATAGTTTTGTTAGGTTTTACAAATAACAGTGAATAATATCTTAGTGCCCTTGCTTGGTATAAATAAAGCCAGGTGATCATACGTCACAAGTGTTTTTATTACAAATTAAGAAAGAATTTGTGAAATTTTATAACTCTGCTAAATAGGAGATAATTTACACTAATTTAAAATTTAGGCTACGTTCGCGGAATCTTTACCCTCTCCTGATAAGTTGTTTTATTAAAGCAAGGCCGCTTCAATTGTATGGCACGTGTGACAACCCGCGTTAGGCAACGTGAGTGCACCACGAGATGATGCGAATGTGTATGTGTACAAGACGCGCTGCTACGTTTGTATGGAGTTAGCATACTTATTATATTATGATTCTACTCCCGGTTTTTTAGATTATTCTTTGTATTATTAATTTGGAATAATAATCAGATATCTTACCTGAAGTCTTTAGAAAACAGCGCATAAATAAGCGGGTTGATCGCGGAATTGCAGTATCCCAGCCAGAAAAGCACAGAAAAGACAATGGGAGCGACGCAGTCTCCGCAGAAGGCCCTGACCACGTACACGCTGAAGAACGGCAGCCAGCAAAACACGAAGCCGCCCACGATGATGCCAAGCGTCTTCGCCGCTTTGGTTTCCATGCGGAATCGTTTTACCTGGAACGAGTAGAATATTTGTATTGTATTGTATTGTAATATTAAGTGAAATTTTTATCTACATTGGAACTTTGTGGGTGTATTATTACGCAAGGGGCTTTATCTGCAGCCATCAGCAGCAGTTTCTTCAATATACTTTCACCATCAACAAATAACAATTGACCGAAGCGTTGTATGACAAATGATCCTTATTCACTTGAAAAGTTTCTTTTATTACTAATATACACGCACACACGATGAATATTGAAAATCTTACCTGTGCCTTAATATTTCTCTTTCCCATCCTCCTAGTCCTTGGTTTATCATCGAACTCGTCATATAGAGGCGCTGGTGTGAGATGGTGGGACTTCACCCTCAACCGACTCTCTGTCAGCTCCCTGCCGTCTCTTTCATAGTGTACTGCGTACAATGAAGGACTTGGGGAACGACTTGGAGATCGGGAATTCTCATGGGCTGGGCAGATTTGTTCTGATGATGGATACGATACGGAGATTTTGATCTTTTCGTGGGCTCTACGTGCGCTTGAATGCCTGAAATAGGGTAATAACGATATAGTGGAATATAAGACTTGCCCAGGCCTTAACTGTTAACGTAACTGTTAAGAAGCAATGCATTGCTTATTGGTTGGTTCTAATCATTCTTTCGATTCGAATACGACACGGTTTAAAATCAAATGGTTTCTCAATGGAAAAATAGTTTTTTCCCACACAAACTACGCCATTCAAAGATTGCTCGAACGAAAATAGAAAATGGGCAATGTCGTCTCGGAAGAAATAACCCTGTTAATAGCCAGAGTGGTACTGGAACTTAATATCCTTATATTTACCTTCTAAGCCGTTCAGGCGAGGCGCTTAGTGAAGTGCTGGTCGAATGGTTCGAGGCGTTGGATAGTGGAGACCCGTGGGGACGGTTCGACCCTCGGCCTCGATGTATACGAAGGGTCAAACGATTGTCGTCGAAACGACTGCCTATTCCTTTTTATAAAAAAAGAATAAGAATTATAGCATGAACTTAACACGATATACAAACACACAGACAAAAATTTTAAAAATCCCTGCTGAGAATATTAAACAGAGTTTTCCGGTGTCTTAGCAGGTGTACCGATTGAAGATGTGTGAAGGATAAAATCTTGCGAACAAAGTTGGCAAAACGGAACACTTATTTAATGGATATACAATTTAACCTTGTATCTTTAATTTCGTGTTGTGATTATATTTGAAGCCGGTCTACTGCATATGGCTGACGGACTGACAGAATGATGTGGATTGTGAGATGACGGGTTCGTGTTTTTTCAGTTTTGTTGATAATGTCACTAAGACATTGTAACATTTTTACCAGATTAATCTAATAAAGAACAGTCGTGGTTCCTCCGCCTTTTCCTTTTAACAGGCCTACGTTTGTCCCTGAACTGGTGGAAAGTGAAAGATGTAAAGGAGGATGGTTGTCGCCAAGAACATGCTTGTTCGTTTATGGTACACATTTTCTTCATTTATGGAAACATGATAATTTGCCGTCAGTGACTTCTATATAATGGTAATGAAGAGAGTTAAGAAAGTAACTTTACACTGTTCTCACCACCTTTGGTTGTCCGAAATCCTTGATTAATAGCCTTGGTTGTCCTAACAGCAGCTTTGTATATACGCCAGTAGAAGAACAGCATCACGAACATGGGGATATAGAAAGACCCCAACGCTGAGTAGACGACGTAGCCCGCGTCGTTGGTTAGCTCACATGTCCAGGGGCAAGGAGGGTCTGGGGGGTCATCTGGGTTGGCGCCTTCAGACTGTGGGGGAAAGATGATTTAGGATGATTTATCAGTATACAGCTTTTAAACTACATACCTATATCATCAAATGTCTGTTTGATTGAATTAGAAATTAAATTTTTGTTCATGTTATTAATACCTTTATAATGCTTACTTTATTAGTAGGACTTGAGTTGGATTTTCACAGTGGCGGAGAAGGAAAATTGTAGGGTCTATAAAGATGTAAAAAGTTATCGAGTTCTTAGGTTTTCGCGATTGTTACAGGTCCCATGGTCACGGTTGACTGATCCCAGTCAACTGTGACCATGGGACCTGTAAAGGGCCCGAAACGTCGGTTTGTTTGAAAAAAACAAATATACGCGATTTAAATCCGGATAAATAGTTTCATTTCCTATATGTAAAAAGTTCCCAATCCGTTTTAATTCTGTTAAAATTCGATGTCGTGTTTAGTGTTTGAAATAGAACTGTGATTGTTGAAAGCATAGGTCAAGATGAGGGAGATATCTTGGTTTCACTAAGCCAATTCATACATACTGATCTACCAAAGTCCTTAAGATCATTTTTGACGGGTACGGCATAGATACGTCAATGGACAGCTGTTCATCTCCTGGATTTATCTCTGTGCTACTTCCTTAAACTTTCAAAATCTGAAATACCAACCCGTTTATCTTTCCAGCCGACCAGAGGCGGGAAGCAAATGACAAAAGACAGCACCCATACACCAGCGATGAGCGCCTTAGCTCTCCGTCTGCTCATGATGCTCGGATAGCTTACTGGTCGAGTAACTGCTACGTAGCGGTCCAGAGATATAGCACAGAGATTCAATATTGAGGCTGTGCACATCCACACGTCGACTGCTAGCCATACTGAGCACCAGACGTCTCCAAAGATCCATATCTGGAAAAAAAGAAAAGTAATGGTGAAATGACAGGTGTTTATTTATTGGTAGATCCTGATACGGCCGAACGGAAAACGCCCGATGGGACGTTCCAGGTACCAAAGCAACAAAGACCTAGGCATCAATTCTGAAGCCAATTTAGAATTTTCAGTAGCAAAGAAAATGTACAAAAGTCAAATAAAGTTATTGCTGCATACATAAAATCCTCACAAACTATATATTTTAACAAAATGTACCAAAAACTCGCACTGAAAGATAGCAGAGTCGACGAGTGCTATACATTATGTATCTCGGCTATTAAGCGATAACGTAAAACACATGGTTCAAACTACGTTTTCAATCTCTTACTAATGGTTTTTGCGAATAAATTGTGTGTTTGTTCGCGCAGAAACTATCGGATGGATCCTTCACACAATGCGTAGGGTTCAGGGTCCTCAGGACCCATTGTAGCGGACTGTACAAATGGGGGCGGTGCTAAAAAGGAACGAACAATACCATACAAAATGTACTTGGAAAGTATATTGTACAATGTTAATACACTACAAACGTAGAAAGACAACCGGAAAATTATCAAAATCAGGCGCCAGGAACACGATTGTCGTAGAGACTCTCCTCAGTGAATTCTGCCATTCAAATTCTGATCAATAAATGCGTGTCTTCCGTAACCTTGATATTGGCGGAATTACCGATTGTATCTACACAGCTATAGCTATATACTTAAAGAGTCGTTACATCCTCAAATGGCTTTGGCTGATTCTGTATAACAGAGAAAGTGTTGAACAGAAAGTAAATTAATAATAAAATACTACTGTTTTCTTCTCCATTATATTTAGCAAAGAACATAGCCATACTTCGAATGAACTCTAAGCCAACCTTATTTTTCATGTCATTTTCTGTTATTTTTGTAAACAGCCATAATTATTTAGTAACATTATGCTCCCCGAATTTTGTGGAAAAAAAAAAACTAAAACGAATTTTGTTAAATAAAAAATGTAGAAACAAAAAACAGAACAGGTCCAAAAAATTAAGTTGGCCTAGTGTTCATTGGAAGTATCGGTAGTATAGAAGAAGTACAGCTACATTTTGAATAAAAATTATAAAATACTAAAATATTTTGCTCACTGACTATATCCTCAAAAAATCGCCTAACCTAAACACATATAATAAAAGTTTATTTTTAATTTTCCAAAGTAACTTGATAATAATAACAATCACCAACGCGTGTAGCGTGACCTCCTCAATTAATCCCAATTGTTGTCTGTAAACAAATTAATTTCAGTCAGCGTAACTGACAACCTGAGGCGGACGAATTGTTGTAGCATTTTCGTTTCCAGCTCTAAAGGTTGCTGCTTTGTACGGTATGTATCAATTGCTGGTTCCTGAACCTGTGGTCTTGATCCCAGCTGTCAAGGAAAACTACGTCTCTATTTTACAAAAGTCGAAAATTAAAAGCGCCTACTAAAATTAAACTAGCAAACATGCAGTCACGCATTAATGCTTGTTATTTAATTACGCGCAAATTGATAACTAGCGAATTTGCAAGCAATATTTCATTTTGAATGAAACGTGAGTATAATTTTAATGTTTTGCACCAACGTATTACCGTGGTATAGGCACCGGATAGTCCGGAAGCGGCAGATGTTCTCAGATTAAATTTAATTAATATCGCCCCACCCTAGCTTGCAGCATAGCCTTTATCTATAACCAAATATAGATGTGTCATGGAGCTTTCATATCAGTAAATAAGCGTGTCATGTTGAATATTAGTTACACAAAACTGTTCCAACTTTTGAACGTTTTACAGCTTTTTAACTAAGTATATATTAAAAACGTCAAAATTTAACAAATCAATTGGACTGTATTTTTTTATACGTATGTTGCGCGATAGCTCTGATTTGTAAATCGATTTTGATGAATAATTTTTTATGTTAGAAACAGGGTACCTCAGTATTAGTCTCATTTAAATTTGAAGAAAATATTCCACACTTAGGTGGCAAACTAGGGGATGATTCTGTTTCGCGCACTTCCGGTAACCGATTTCAAAAAAACTATGTAATTCCACGAACTTTTGAGGCCTTTTTTTTACAAAAAACGTTACAATTATTATAATAGCAGTAGAGGTCCTTTGTAAAGGAGTTCGTCCGGCTACCTTACCTATTTCTGCCGCCAAGCAGCAAGGTGAGCATTACTGCGTTTCGGTTTTGAAGCGTAAGGGTGCTGGTGAAATTATAGGCACATGGGACTTGTCAACTTATGTCTAAGTGTATGTGCAACTGGACAGACGTGTCACTTACATTCAGACGCGCGACTTGATCCTCCCGTTATTTGGTATCGTAAAAAAAAGTTACTTGTTTACTTTTATTTACTTGCATTTTATTGCTGCGATTAGCAGGTCAGATCTATCGTTTTAAAGAAGACATATGCACATCGGTGGCACAGAGGTGGATTGATTTAAAGGCTACACTATGTAGATATTCATCACAGCTACCTCGGTTCATTATAGCAATTTGTGTAGGGGCGTTACAATTTTACTAATTGCAACGTGTAGCTGACGATATTAAATTCTTGATAATGACTGCGTTTATGCGTCGGGTTGCGGGGTTCAAATTAAACTGCGGAATAATTAAACTTATTGTGATAACTAACATTGTACCTCAGTAAAGTTTGCTTAACAGGTATAAAAGTAAATGAAGTGTTTTGAAAACGATGAGAATGAAAACAAGTTGCAATAATAACCTATTTTCCAGGGTAGTCTGTTCATTAGGTGTTAATTGCAAGAGATCATTAAGAAACGAGAGCTTTTCAGAAAAAAAACACCAGCTTTAAAACATAAATTCCCATCCCGAAAGGAGGAATCCTCTTCCATCGGATTTTATTTAATCTATTAAATTCTCATTCAATATGATCTGGAAGACAAGAAAAGACGTTAAGAATTCATTATCATTAATTATCTGAGTCTTTTAATCTTTTAATGGAAAAACTGATTTTGAACTGTATCTTCTAAGAAATTAAAGTTGGCTTGAAATCGTTAATCGTTCTATAATGAATCCAATTAAATAAAATCTAGAGTCACTTTTGCATCGTCTTGATTTGCCATAAGATTCAGGCGCATTACACTACGGCTTAACAGTCGTCTTCACAAAGTCACAAATTCATTTAAGAGACAGCATATATACCTACTTCTATAATAAGCAAAATGCCAAAATGCCAAACGGGCAGAATGTCAGATTAACAGAATTCCAGATTCACAGAATGCCAGAATATCAGATTTCGAAATGCCATGTATCACTTCCAGGAACAGGCCTCCCTCCTCCTGACGCACGAACTAATGTCCAGTAGTGGACGTGATGATTGCGTTTAATATTCAAAATTTGCTATACGACAAAAATCTGTGGTAGTGACACAGATCTGTTTAGCTCTCGTAGGTAGTCTCGATCTATGATATTTGAAATAAATCGATATGTACCTGCCACGTAAGTAGTTGTAAGTCAAAATGTATCCTTTTTTATGTATGTTATAGGTTCTTATGTTTAAAAGTAAAGAAATCACTTAGTGTTATGTTTATTTTCAAACATGGAACCTATAAGTGAGAGGTGGAGTATTTTCTTCTTTAAATAGGACCACGTCTGAGGTACTCTTTTTCCAACAAAAAAAATCATTATAATCGGTTCACAAATGGCGACTCATCGCGTAACATTAAAAAAAAACATAGTCATTCGACTATGAGATGAGAACCTTCTCCGTTTTTTGAAGTCGGTTAAAAAAAGATATATTAAGTATACATTATGTTAAGGTTATATTATGAAGTTAAATAGCAAAATATGGTATGTCGACTTACAATAACTTACGTGGGAGGTATCGATCCTTCTAAAAGGAATCTTTCAATATAATAATGAATTTAGAATGCTGTCGGGACTGCCACGCTTTTACAACGGTTCAGGCATGTTCTCGGAGGCACTTCTTGACAGCTTTAGCGCGATAATACGCAAGAGAGCTGCCACCCTGATGCGTCACGTATGTGACAGTACCAACAGTATCGTGCGGTTGATTTGGGAGTATCCTGCTTGTAACACGTGGACGCACTGAATATCGTCAGAGACCGTGAAATTTGGCAGAAGTGGGTGATGTGAGCTGCATAATATAATACGATTTATTTAGTAGCAGTAGAGATCCGTGTGAGAAAGTGCGTCCAGGGAAGTACCGCCACCTTCACCCATTTTCGTTACCAAGCTGTAATGAGAGCATTACTAGGTTCCGGTTTTATAGGCACATGTCAACTTATGTCTAGGGTAACTGGCGCAGATCTTTGCAATTTAAAGCTCTAAGTGGCACTGCAATTGGTATGGAACAGCGTGTCGTACGACTTGTATATCCCTTGACTTGGTATCATATAGAAAACAATTATGATGAATAGTAATATTTTATGCAATCGTCGCACAATGTGGGTTCTTAAAGTCATAGCATAGAATATTTTTAAATAATGCAACATAACCAATGTTTAATGTATTTTTTTAACAATCCATGACAATAAAAGCAATTTTTTAATAAATTTTAACCCATTTATTAGGCTATGCAAAGGTTCCACCATACAGCCTTTTCATATGTTTAGACGAAAGCTCATTAAACGCTACAAAACAAAAAATCAAAGAGATAGAACTTGCCAAGTACCGCGTATATTTTAACGATTTTTTTAATAAAGATTTTAGGCCCGGTTGCAAAACTTTTAGGCCAATTTAACCAATCAGAAGGCAGTACTATAGCGTATACGTAGCGTCCTAATTGCTATTTTAATTAGCAAAAATACGACGTTTTTTTATTGAAATTTTTCAGTTCTGTAGCGAATACCTTAGACAATGGAATTTTTATTCTGAACTAAAAAGAGCGCCTATAAGATATGGTTTATCAAATTAAAATTGACAGATTAAGTACAGGTGTAGACAAAAAACATTATGGTAACGCGTATTTTAATCTTTTTATTTTTTTTAAATTTATTTATTGT